GGGGGGGGGCAGTGATGGAATAAGGGGTGAACGTCATTATTTTGGGAAAGCTGGGATGGGGTGGCCAGCCTGTTTATCGTTATCATTATTTTGGAAGGGGGTTGTGCAGTGAAGATAGTATGAAATGCAGCACGGCTTGCTTTAAAGAGCATCAACAGAGATATCAAGGCACCATATAAGAGGGATGGTGTTGATGGGACAAGTGGAGAGGTATGATAAATAGCCCATGGGCTGATGCAGACTGTCTGAGGAAGTGGGTTGTTATCTCCTGCTAAAATAAATCAATGAGTCTTAAAGGTCTTGCCAGATTCCTTTTCCTTCCCTGCTTTTTTCTACTGAAACCGAAAAAAAGCAGATGTTACTTTGAAAATAAATAACTGATTTGGCATCTGGTTACACCACACACACAGAGAGAACACCATCCTGGCAGGTGTTGTCCAGGCATAAGGGGCAAGTCAAAAGAGGCAGGAAGCCTAGGACAGGGGCTGGTAGTTCTGGTAAAGGTGGAGTGGAATCAGATGGGTCAAGTGGGTCTACCAAGGTTGGTTTGGTGGGAGGCATGCCTGCATGTGTTGTTAAATGTGAAAAATATGCCCTTTTGTATTAGACCAGTCTAGAGTATGTATTATTAGACCCATTAGATAGCATCCTGGAGACATTATTCTTTGTCCAGCAGGAGCTGGCTAGATACATCTGGATGCTCAGAAGGTGTTGTGTTACCTGTAAGAGTAATACCCTTGGTATGGCAGGAGCAGATAAGCAGGTAACAAGCAGTTAACAAGAAAGCAGGCACATGGAAAGAGGGTGCAAGTGCATGTTGCTGGCTGTAGTCCTTAAAAGTCCTGTTTCAGCACTGCAGTGAAAAGTTCAGACCACAAATTGAAGAAATATTGGCATGTCAACTAGTAAGGATTGTTTACTAACATTTCTTAACATTGGTCCACAACACACTACAGAAATAACCCAATTTGAGACTGCTTTAACTGCCCTGGCTCAGTGCTAAATAATCCTGGGAATTGTAATTTATTGTGGCATCAGAGCCCTCTGACAGAGAAGACTAAGGGCCTTTGCAGATTGCCAGAAATAGTGCACATTAAATTGAGGCACTGCCCTGGCTCAGTGCTAGGGAATCATGGGAATTGTATTTTTTTCTGGGACATTGAGCCTTCTCTGTCAGAGAGCTCGGGTGCCACAATAAATTACAGTTCCCATGATTCCCTAGCACTGAGCCAGGGCAGT